GCCCGCCTTGCCTCACGCCCTGGCAGCCGCCCGGAGAAGCTGCGTGTGAAGTGATTGCCCCGTCGTGCTGCGGCCGGGGGATGCTCGCCCTGGGTGCTTGTTTATCGCTCCTGTTTGTAAGCTAGGCCGCCCTAGAGAAAAGAGGTGTGTGCGGCTGTGCTCCCCGTGCTCAGTTTCTCCCGTGGCCGGGAAAGGCGTTGCCTGACAAGCAGAGATCTCGCAAAGAGCATGAAGTTCCCTAGCTGAGGGGAAGAGCACAGAGGGGCTGTGCGCCTTGCTAAATGAAGGGGAAGCATTATCAATAAGCCAGTCGCATAGAAGTATTTTTCAGAGCGTGGTGAAACATCGCATCCCTAGGAAATGGGCTCTGCTGAAGTTCAAGTGCACGTGTGAATAACTTGAATCTCTTGACAGAAGAGGGCTTTCCTAATGTTCTTGTATCTTGATAAGATCCTTTCGTTCTCCCACCCTTCAACATTGTGAACATGTGATAGGTTCTTTTATTTTCTTTAATCTTACTTACTGTGACAACAATGCAGTCACCTCTGAGGTGAAAAAATTAATGTTATACTGTAGAACACTTTCAGCCCTCTGAGAAGTGCTGTAGGATCTTGATTTGCATGCAGTGGGCAGTTATTTCCTTCGTATCTCAAATCAGTAAGATGTAAACAATTTAAGCTGTGTATTCCATCACATACAGTACTGGAGCGCTGAGCTCAAGAAGTTTTCACTTAATGTTTCCAGCACTCAAAGATTAAAGTGGTTTATTAGCTTAGGTTATTTAGTTTAATCGTACCTGTACTTAAACATAGATTCCTATGAACAGGGCACTGTATCTGTGAGAGGTACTTATAAATGATATTTACATGTATAACTTTGTGTTCAGAGTGACATGACGAAAGCCAGAAAGGGGAACAGGAATACACAAATTATGCAAGCACGTGGTTTGCTTGTACAGTTGTAAGCATCTGAAACTTGAGAAAACTTGATGCTAGATCTGAAACTTGGAAGTCAAATGTTAGTTCTCTCGTTAGAATACAGCAAGGTTTTCCTAAAACATGTTGTGAATGTTAGTAGTGTGCATGTATTCAAAGCATAATGTAACAATGTCTTGTGGCAGGTTTTGCATAGATAGCTGATATGTGAATAAGCAGGGAATTGTTTAATACTGAAAAGTGTATGTCTTTGGAAGATTGTAGTTTGACTCTGTTTTCCTTTTCTAGAGTGACAAATCTGGGGCAAACAACTGAAAATGTCATCCTATTTGGCTCAGGAGGTTCACCTTGCTAGAAGACACGAAGAGATGTAAGTAATTGTTTCAGCGCTGTGGTTTGCCTCGCAGCAGTTTGTGTTGTGGGCTGGCGAGACCTCCCTCGCTGCACATGACCGTCCTGTGAACGGTGAATGCGAGCTCGGTGCAGAGCAGCGGTGTTTCAAGAAGGCGTTGGTGTTCCAGGAGGTGGCACTCTTCCTTCATGAACTACTAGAATGAGCATCCTTGCTCGCCGTTAAGGGTGTTTAGGCTGATGAGGTTTTGGACTTCCAATGGTGGTACTGGTTTAAGATCTCCATTGTTAACCTCCTGTCACTGTTAAATTCCTATTTGGGGAAGGTAATTGGATTCTCTCACTCTACGCCTTAATTATAGATTTGCTTCTTTGTTGCCCTGTAAACTCAGATTGTGAAGCAAATACAGTAATGATTCAGAAAAATCTGCTTTTCTTGTAACAGCTAGTACTTGCCAATGAGCAAGAGGAGCACTGATCAAGTCACCCCAACCCACCCTGTCTTTCCTGTTCTGGGAGATTCAGTGCTTCTAAGCACCTTAGCATATGAGGACTGCTGGTTGCAACATTATAGCTTCATACAAGCACAGCAGGTGGTGTCTGCCTGTACCTTTTCCCTCCCCCAGCACACCCACCCTACAGCCGGCTTAATTAGCCCCATAGTTTTGAGAAAACTGGGTAAGGTAAAAAGGTTATTTTCTAGCTCCTGAGCAAAATGTTCTACCCACTTAGCAAAATGTTTTCCTTTGTAGACTGTCTCAGAGATCAGAGCTGCTACAGCAGATGGAGACTTATCTAGGAGACAAAAAGACTAAAAAGACATGGCAAACTCAAGCAGCTGATGCAGCTCATAAAAGGAATGCAGCACTTTTAAATGTAAGTTTCTGCAACTACCCGGAACCGCATTGAAATGTCACGGTTATGTAGCTTAGAGAATTAAAAAACCCAAGTGTTTGCTCTATAGTTGTCATTTGAATTCTCCTATATGCAGTTCCCTCGTCTGGAACTTGACCAAAAGCATTAAATGACAAGTCTTTATTATCTGATGGCATCACTACCTATTTCCCATGCCCTTCTTATATGAGCCTCGTGGTGGCAGCTGCTACTATCTTTTTTTTTTTTTTTTTTTTTTTTTTTTTTTTTTTTTTTAAGTACCGGTAGAGATGCAACACATGCTATTACATGTCTGCCTAAGAGAACTTAAGAGTCTGGCAAGACTCACAGCACCTCCACACTTTGATTCAAGATATGGGGGGGTATGTTTGGAAATAGGGGCTGACCAGCCTGTCATGCGTTTAGTCCAGGGTAGGAATTATTTTCCCACTATGTTTGCGTGAAGTTGGGGAGGACGTTCTCAGTTTAATGTTATTCTTTAAAGCGGGGTAGAGTGACTTCAAGAATCCTACTTGCGAGTCTGTAAAAGCAGTGTTTGGTGGCTTTGGCTCTTCCTAGTGTGGGTTAATGATGTTAATAGCTCTTCTACATACCTGTTGCCATATTTAGGTAAGATTTGTGTTTCCTAGGTAAACTTAGCAGGTATTTGAGAATGGGCAATTAGAAAGATCTAGGTTTGATGGCAGGGACTGGAATGCTAAAACCTCTTCCAGAACCCCAGCTTAGGCACCTGAGTTTGAAGAGATTGCACTTGACCACTGGCGTGAGCATGCATTTGAAAACTGTTTGTCTGTTGTTCAGGAAACAGCAAAAAACCTCTTGTGCATTTTCTTTAAACTCTTACTTTTTAAGGGTCCATGTTGCCTGTATTGTGTTTACAGAAACAGTAAGTTTTTCTCTAGAAAATTACAAGACTGATTTGTGTCACTGAAATTTTTTTGTTTCTTCGTGCACAGCCTGGTTAAGACTTAAAATATTTGCATTTCGGGTGGGTGTAATTCTATTGCAGGCCCTCTTTGTATTTAAATGGAAGTTATATTTAGGGAGTGGCAGACCAGGCAGAGCAGTTGATCAGGGATGCCTTCTGAACTATTCTGCGATGAGGAAGATTTTTCAACTTGGACTGATAAACTGGTGCATTCTGGGCTGGGGCAGTCAAACCCCTCTGTATTGGGTAGAGAGAAGTGCAGGTGCTTCAGTGGGAGGCCGGGGAGAAGTGGCTGGTTTATTTTTTTTCCATAGTCCATGCTCCCTTGATTTGGTAATTTCAGCCATTGACTCCCATTTTCCATACGTGTTTTATAATAGATTATTTCATAAGTACAGTTTTTATAAGTTATTTGTATTTTATAAATGCATTCTCAGTTTACATATACAGGCACACATAATAAATGCAAGGTATATTTCTGCATGCTGAAAGCTTGTTGTATTGGAAATGTTAACAATAGCTCAGACATATACAGAGTGTAAATATTTTTGCAGTTAAACAGATATTTGCCATCTTCTGTCACATCCTCAAAATTGTTCCTTTCAAGTGTCAAAAATGTTGGTGTTTGTACGGAAAAAAAGCAAAAACATATGTATCAAAACAAATTCTGTTGCAGGATAAAGTAGCATAAATCAGTTTAAATCTATTAATTTTATACTAGTTTTAACAGGCATGCAGTCCTGCAGATGCTTTCTGATAACAGAAGAAAACAGGGAAAAAAAAAATCTATGCAGAATAATATATGAGAAGCTTGAAAACAAGACTGATTAATGTGCCAGCTTCAGAATATTGTTCCTGATACCAGGCACTGTACATTTCACAGTTACCATGTGGAGAGTTGTTGATTTGGCCTACTCAAAAATACATGGACATGATGAAGTGTTATTTTTTTATTTGCATTTCTGGTTTTCTGCATGTAAGCAAAATCAGTTGTTTTCAGTATGTGATCATAGCAAAAGACGTTTTTCTTTCTCTGTGCTAGTTCATATTTATGCACAGGAAAGCATTTCAAAATTAATTTATTTTTTAATCAGTAGGAAGCAAGGAACTAAACATATTTTTTTTTTTTAATTGAAAGGTTAACATTATAAGCACTTGTTCAGCATTTTAACGTAATTATCAGAGTATTTTCCCTGATCTCTTTAGAGGGAGACTGCAGATTGGGGAAGTCTGTATCATTCAGTACTTATATAATGTTGTCGTAATAAAAGCAGAAATTAGACTAATATTTATAATCTAATTTATGACATTTGTTTGTCTAGTATTTCTTGTGTTTAGAAATATGTATTACTGTGCAACACCTTATAACATGAAATAGTAAATGAAGAATATGCTATGTAGTAATTAGCATTGGGAAGGTAATTTAGACCAAATTTACTTTCTTTCACAGGCATGTAATTCTAGAATTATTTAAGTGGGATTCTGCCAGACTGATATCAATATAAGTGACAGCTGAATTTGGTCCCCTAAAAGTGATGCATGTGTCATGCATTCCATTTTACCTCTGGGGAAGGGTCTTGAATTGTTTTTGTTCCAGTCCTTGTGGTTTTAGGGGAAGTGTTGTAAGATGCTCTCTTTTTTCCAGTACTGTGACATATTAGATTTGCTGGTTTTTCCAAAGAAGTTTACACTGCTGACGTATTTATTTTTATATTGATGACAGGGATTTCTTTTTTGTACAAAGCTTACCAGTTGTATAGACACACAAGAAGTGCCATCTAATCTTTCAGTAGTTCCAGTTATTTTCTAAAGCATACTACACCTTCCAGCAAAAATTTCTTTCACTGTCTGTCATTAAATCAGTATTCTGAATGACAATAGACTGCACAACATACAAACTAGAGTGAGCAACGAAAAGACACATCCAATATCTAGGCTATGCCAAAGTGACCTTCTCCGCTAAACATATATGCACAACTGCTGTCTCTGTTCTTGCTTGAAAGACACTCATTTGCTGTCACCATAACCGTTCCAGTGACTTAGCTGAGTACATAAAGAAATAATGATCTCAATTGATACTCTTCTTTCCTGTGAAAATTCCTACAGGAATTAGGAAGAAGGAATCAGAAAGAATGAAGATCGTAGGGAAGAATATGAAGTGAACGTTACTGATCAATCCATCTTTTCAGGATGGCGGTAACTTCCCCAGACTCGGTCTGAGCCACACTGATACCGGCTTGATTTGGTGCTCTTTGTGGTGTATCTGTTCTAAGTACATGCAACAGAGAAATTTCTTGCTTAGGTTACTTAAGTCTGTGTTGTCCCCTCTTATTTTGACATTGTGACCTCAGATGGCTTCCATCCTTGCTCCTATTCCCCCTTTATGTTTATCGCCTGTTAGTCTTTTCTCACCTGAAAAGGGGCAGCCGCTTGCTACTTCCAAGGACTTAGAGCAAACTAATTCTCAGACTTATCCTTCTCGGGCATCCTTTAGCTTCCTCCATGGGTAGGCACTTTGCTGCAGGAAAGGGAGAACAGTTTTTCTTGGATTAGGGTTTGTGATTATGTACAGGAATACAGCCATGCTGTGAAAGGAATTAAAGACATAAGATGAACACTGTACATTGAATGAACCAGGTGTGTCTGTATCACCAAGTTGAACTTCAACTAGCAGTAAGGCTGTTTTTTTTCTTTTATTAATCATACTCTAGTGAATTTGAGTCACATTTTTCAAACTAAACATGAGTCAAGCACTGTTTACTTATTGATGTATTCAGATTGGCTATTATTCAAAACGAGTAATCATGTTTGGTCTCCCTTGTGGATATGCTCCTCCAGAATCTCACTCTTCTTTTCAGCGGCAGTGGTGGTGAATATTTGGGAAGTCCCTTTGGGGAATTTCCTCTCTCATTTAGTTTTTCTGTTGTACTCTTCACACCCGCTCTCTGCTCCCAACTCTGCCATCTGCTATACTTTCTTTCCCCCTCCACTCTGTTCAGCTTTGGCTTCTTCACACCCCACTCCCACGTCCCTTTCTGTCTCTCTTCATCTGCCCACCACTCAATCTCTTCAATGTTTGGGTATGGAACTAAGCCCACAAGAATGGGTCAGAACTTTAAAGGGGGAGGGCGGTTAGTTTGGGGGGATGCTTTGATTTGTTTGTTGCGGTTGGTTTTTGGTTGTTTCTTTTTAAAAAAATTTATTTAGGCCTTTGTGAATCCAGCACACATCCACTGGACAAGCAGAAACCCAAATACTGATTTTTTTGTAAGAAAGCTATGTGAGGTGCATTGTCATCCAAGTTTGTCTGGTGAACAGCTTGCTGCAGCTCTACATTTTTGTGCACATGTTATGCATGCATATTAGCAAGTCATCTTTGTCTTGAGGAGTAAAGATCTTGCACATAATTTGCCTAGTTACTTTACAGTTACAGTAGCTAGAATACATACTTCAGTCTGCATGTAGCACAGAGAAAAACGTTCTGTTCCCCTCTATTTTCTTAAGTTTCATACGAGAGAATTTAACTGTAATTTACCCTGGTGTCTGGAGAGAGTAACAGTGCTTTACAGTGGTCATGAAATTTATTCTCATATCAAACAGGTACAGCAAACGTGTTCAGAAACTGTAGGATGTTTGTTAGTCTTACTAGTGTAGGTTGGACTTCAGAGTGACTAAACAGAAAGATTTGAACTTCAGTGTTATTATTTGAACGTTGTTTAGCTGTAATGGGTTTATTTGGTTAATTTCAATGTCTTTATGGGAGTGTGCATTTTCCTTTTAAAATTCCCAGTGTTTGTTTTTGAAATGTACTTTGCCTGTGTTCTAGGATATAGGAGCAGCAGAAAAAAAGCTGCAA